GCCACACATGATTAAGTTGTAAATATTGAAATATTGAATCTATGAGAACTAGCAGTTTAGATTCTGGAGCTTATGGTCATCTTTTTCCCTTGAGTATTTCTCCCCCTTTTCTCCATCATGCATCTTGCTGGGATATATGGGCTATACATGGTAGCTGGCTACCTTTTTTAGAGAAACATAAGTAGTGAGGGAATGATCCTGTTTGCATCATGTGGCTATTGCTGGCTTCTCTGCTGTCTTCATCAACTTAATGGAGGGTTTTCCTGCAGACTGCTCAGAGCTTGACGAACCCTTGATGAAAGTAGGCTGTTCTTTACCTTGTTAATGATTGTTCAGTTTTTATTATGAGATTTAAACCACAGTGTCTCCTATGCCTGAGAGAGAGTCAAGAAATGGAATGAAACAAAGGCATCTTCACATTTATTCAATTTATGGGAAGAATTGCTATCAGTAATACTAAATGCTGAGGAGACAACAAGAATAATAGTTGAATTATGAGCTCAGTCTAGTTCACATCTTTTAAAGATATGGCACTTACTCTATATTAGCTTGCTTAGTTTAGTTGCAGTTTTAGATTTTAACCAAGAAAAATTACATTGAGGACAGTTTCGTGATTTGTTGGAAATATCATTGTAAACTGAACAAACAGTAGAATACTGCTAGTGTGAATTTTGAGCAGCTGAATGGGGGAGTGCTATGAACATAATGTAAAAACTATATTCATATTTCCTTAAATTATGTTAACAAAGCAGGCTAAAGTGTTAAAATGTATTATGAAAGAAAACAAAGGTATTGCTATTATTTTTTCTCCTACTGTTTTAAAAAGTACAATGCAGTTGGCAGTATAGTCAATGGACAGATTAATTCTTAAAAGCATCAGATACAGCTGAAAGCCACTTGTAAAACAAATAAATAACAAGCATAATAAAAATAAGGAAAACCCAGTAAATCATTAAAAATGCATCATGTGCTGTATACAATGAAAAGTTAACAAGGTGCCCATAGTGAAACTGGGTTTATTTAATCAGAAGTGGCATACTTATCTACATTTATTTTGAGGCTATCTATATGTGTTGTGTGTGTGTGTGTGTATTTATATTTATATATTTATACGCATATACAATTCATGCATATTTAATATGTGGATAGAAAGTTACAGTGGACATGATTGCATTATTGAAGATCTGAAAGACCAGGTTAGGGTTAAGATCAGATCATCATGGAGGAAATCTATGTAGTAACTAAGATTCAGCAATGACTTGTTGCACATGATCATTTAATTGTTGTATGTATAGACAAAAATACACACGGGCACATACAGTTAAAATCTCATTGGCATTACACCAAAATAAGTATATATTTATTCTACAGATGTTAATTTTTTTTCTTACTGGTTCCTGGGCATGGGACATTGTATTGTTTCTCTCATTTACAGTTTTCTTACGAGCAATTAAAACTTCATATCACAATAATATATCATATAAACAGCATAATATACAATTGCAAATCGTTTCCCTTTAGAGATACATGCTTATTTACCTACTGATAATTTACATTTTCACAAAGTCTCCAATATCTCATTTCTTTGCAGTAGTGGCGATTATCTGTAGCTCTGGTATAGGATGAGGGTGAAGGTTCATTTTCCGAGCTTGTGGGTTGGTTTCGTTCCCAGGGTAGGTAACATCTTCAGCAGAGCTCTGAGAACGAACCTCATATCATTTCTTTTCTGTATACTGCTTTGTCTTTTTTTTTTCTTTCCCTGTTTTTTATCCAGTTAACTGCCTCTGCCCTATCTCCAACTTCCTTTAACTTTGTACTCCATCTGCCCTGATAACTTTTTTTAATACAATGCAATACAGAGCATGCCAAATTGTGGTTGCTTATTTTAGATATTTATTTCTATTCTACCAGAATCCAAAGACCACCTGGCATTTTGCATATAAAACAGCAGAAATTAAAGTACCTTCAAAAAGAGATAGAATCATCACTGTGAGTGTTAAAAATAGTTCAGAATAATTCCATCTTAGCTGCCTTCCAAGTAAGAAATGCATTACCGTATTTTCTGGCTTATAAGACGACTTTCTAAACCCTGAAAATCTTCTCAAAAGTCGGGGGTCGTCTTATACGCCCAGTCGTCTTATACAGGTATTCTATTTTATTCCTTTACACATGTGGTTTGGCATATTACTCATCAAGTTTTCTCTCCCCTCCCTCTCTCTCGCTCAAACTCTATATTTTAACTGGAAAAGTTGGGGGTCGTCTTATACACCCAGTCGTTTTATATGCCGGAAAATACGGTACTTTTGACAGATGTAAAATTTTAAAACAATGTTTTAACACTAAAAGAGTGCCTATTCTGTGTTATTAGTTGCCACACTTCATTTGCTAATAGGCTTTTTGAAAACTCTTTTAATATTTAAATTTATTTATTTTTATTTATTTATTTATTTATTTGTATGCCACCTTTATTTTTACAATTAACTCAAAGTGACAAACATATCCAACATATCTTCTTCCTCCTCCTATTTTTCTCACAACAACAGATCTGGAAGGGTGGGTAGAGCTGAGAGAGATTGACTGGCCCAAAGTCACCCAGCTGGTTTTCATGGCTAAGGCAGGACTTGAGTTTATGGTCTCCTGCTTTCTAGCCTGGTGCCTTAATCACAAAATAAATTGGTTTTATAAAAATATGAGTCCTTATTTATTTCTGTTAGATGTCAAGTTGAGTATAATTCTGTTTAAAGATTTAGTTTAAAGTCATAATCTTTAAACTATAACAATATCCTGTGTAAAGTAAATGTTAGTGTATTATAGTATCTATAGCCATGAGGACTTTGCATCAGTCTGGGAACGTATTGGTGGGGTCTGATTAAGGCATGTTTGCACATATGCCCAAAGTTTTGCACTCTTTCTTATATGAAAAGGGGAAGTTTATAAAAAGGGCATTATCTAGGTGGTGTTTTTCTTTATATGAAAGGGTTATGTTGGGTTGTGCATGAAGTTCTAATCCCAGTCTGAGTATAAATGCTTCCACAAAGTATGTAGATTGATCATTTACTGTCAGATAATGGTGAATTGTTTTTTAAAAAGCCCAACTTTTAGAAAAATATGATTATTTATTATTTGATAGCTAGAGACCAGAAGAGTTCCAGAAGATTGTCAATGGAAGAATCATTGGAAGAGACATTGTAGGCTAGCCCCATCAACTGTTACCATCCCTTCATTGTTATATTCTACAAATGTTTGTTTGACTTGCCTTATAAGAGTGGACATATTATGAACAAAGAGCTCATAAATGTAATGAGAGAACATTAGATCAGCGGTCCCTAACCTTTCTGGCTTGGTGGACTGGCAGCGGGGGAGAGAGGCAATGATTCTGTGTTACTCAATGGACTACCAGGAGGGGGGGGGATGGTTCTGCTCACTCAAATGCAGCTTTGTGTGCGAGCCTGCTACTCACAGAAATGGAGTTTTGCATGTGAGCGTGCGCATCAGCCACTCACACAAATGGAGCTTCGCATGCATGCTCACCCGCCTCTTCCACAGCCCGTTTGTTGTAGTGGGCCGCAGCATGGGCATTGTGGACCCCTGGGTTAGATAGTCTCCTAATGGCTTTTAATAATTTTGGATGTAGCTGGCCACCCACCACAAGAATTCAACAAGTACATTTTCAACCTATTGTTAAATATCACATTTTCAGAAGGATAGATTTTGCTAGAATCTCCTACCAAAAACTTTCACGCCTTTCTTACATGGTTCCTTATAAAGATTTTATTTCCCTTTTCCTCTTTAGAATGTATTATTTTATCTAATAATAAAAAATGCATTGCTTGTTTGTTTTTTAAAAGAATAACCACCCAGAATGGACTAATCTTTGATGACAAACCATATAGACCCATAACAGCTTTGCCGTCAAGACTGAATCATAGGAAGCCTAAAGCAGAGATCTTGGACACCAAGAACTGTGGTGGTGTTGTTCAAATTCTTCTGCATAAAGCAACCTGAAGATCAAAAGCTTACTAAATTTTTTACTGTGAAGATGGGATTGTTGCAGATTGCTGCAGTGCTACTAATCCATGTTCCTCCTCATGCTAACAAATGCAGTATGATGATAAAAAAGAGGAAAAGAAACTACCCTATACATAGTTGCATTCTAGGCTTTATGGAATATTTGATATTGGATCATGATCAGTTAATTAGTTAATACCGACAAATTATAAGAGCAACTATTTTTTTCATAGTTCTGTATCTAAACTGAATTCATTAGGCTCTGAAAATCCAGTCACAAAGTGCTCATCTAGAGGATTCTCATTTAGGTTCATATCGACCCTGAAATTAACTGCACATTGCATACGTACTGTATATGTATTTCTATAAAGGAGCACTTTGTTGGCATAAAAGGACCATTTTGTACAAGACTGCACAACTCAAAAGCTCTATGGCTGTAAGCCTCAAAACGTTTGGTGCAGCCCTTGATGCATATCCACTAATTTCCACTGAATTATAGTTTTACAGAAGAGAAATAAACCCATGAACTGTATTGTTAGTTTTCATTCATCCAAATTTATATCATTTTCGCCTCTTATTGGAATATGATTTCTAGCATACCACTGTATGCCAGCTGAAAATCTTTGGTTTGATGCCTGCATCTCATGCACAGTAAAACTTTCTTTGTTACTTGAATTATTTAGAAATGTCCTTTAGATTGGTATTCCATTTACTGAATTTAGTGAGATTTAAGTCTACAGTTAAATAAATTGTATCTGATGGTATCAGCAAAATTGAAATTGCTTCTGGACTCCACCTAAATTCTTAAGATGATGAGGACAGAGCTTTTTTCAGCCCAGGGTTAATTTAAACCTGTGAGATGCCCCGGGATTTTTACTTACTCTGAAATAGCCTTGCATTTTTCATTTTCAGCTTTTATTTCATGCATGTTTTTACCTGAGTTAATGTTTCACGTTTTTTTTTTATTTTTCCATTAATCTCTTCCTCTTCAGGTGCAATCTAGCTCCTGTGGTGGAGTTTGCTGCAGACGTGGGAACTAAATCAGATTTTATTACCATGAACCCATCAGTTGTACAAAAAGCATTTGGAGGCTTTCGGAATGAGAGTGACAGAGAAAAATTTGTGCATAGACTATCTATGCTGAATGACAGTGTCCTTTGGATCCCTGCTTTCATGGTCAAAGGCGGAGAGAAGCATGTGGAGTGGGTTAATGCATTAATCCTTAAGAATAAATTGAAAGTGCGAACTGCCTATCCATCACTGAGACTTATTCATGCTGTCAGAGGGTAAGTGTCTGGAAAAAGACTGGTCTGTCCTTGGCACAATGGAACTCATAACTAACATTTCTGCTAGAAAAGAAAGAGTGGCTCTAAAAGGTTTTGAGATAATTCCATTCAACTCATAGCGGATTATATTTCTGATAAAGACATGTTTAAAGCAAGCACTTTCCATCTGTTTAGTCCATTCAAAGGCAAGCATTGGGGCTGATTTAATTTCATATTTTTTTTCTCCGCTTTATACACAAAAGCATGTGAATCTTCCACAGGTGTGGCTTGACCACTCCTCCTCCCCGCCCCCATTTGACTTGTAGCAGAGCCAACTATAACCAGTATTGCATGTTCTGACTTAAAAATTTTGCCTCTGTCCTATATGTTCTGTTATTTCCCATGTGAATGTTTTCTATTATGAGGAAGCAGGGCTTTGAGAATCCACATTCTATATTTCTGCAATTGAATAAACATCAAGGAAATGTTATATTTATTTAAAACATTTATATAGCCAGACATCTTATACCAACCTCGGGCCAGTTTCCAAACAAGTATTTAAAAATATCAATAGTAAAAGCAACATAAAAACCATATTTAAACTATCAACACCATCATTATTGAAAACAAAAACATGGCACAAGCTGAACATGCAGTTGCCTCATCTTATCCCAACGTTTGGAGGAAAAGCCGACTCATCAGTATGTTTTGGAAGCATAGGCAGATAGAATGGTTGCTTAACTTCAGGAGGAAGATGGTCCATAGGGTAGCAGCTGCCATGAAAAAGGCATCAAGGATCATATAGGTCAAATTGTTATGTGAGACTAATTGCTTTTTTGGATGTATCTCTTTTGGAGATACCTTTTCCCAGTTGTAGTCATTGCATTGCTATTTCTGTTTTTGCCTTGAAACATTTGATATTGCAGAGTTTCTTGTTGCTGGAATCATTTCAGATTAATTATTTTGTTTGCATTTTGCTTTTCATTGGCCTGCTTATCAGAATATTAGGATATTATACAGTATAGTTAGTGTTTTTTTCCCAAAGCTACTTTTCAAATAAAAAAATGCATAGGGCATAGTGGTAAAAATTTATCGGGCTTATTATTCTGAAAGCAGTTGTACCTATCAATAGTAAAAATAACTGCCCTGATCTAGGTAATAGCTTTATTCTCCAAAACGCTAAATAAAAATGCAATCTGCATACCGGAGCTGCATAACTACTACAGTAATCTTCAAAAATCTATCTTGAGAATAGGAAGAGTAATCTTGTCTGACATGGGTTCCCTCCTGATGTATTAGATTGTCATTCTTAATGTGTAGAAAGAAGATATTACATTCAAATAAATTGTACCACAGTGGGAAGATTGAGACAGATAAAACATGCATGTCTACACAGGATATTTTCTAAAGCTGATGGCAGCTTAAAAATTCCATTCTCTCCCTTCTTTTGTTCTTTATTCTTTGACTGGAGTTGGGCAGTCTTTTGACTAGGAAATTGTCCTCAAGCCTCTGCAAACTGAAGTACAGTACATGGATACTTTCTGAGGAAATATCAAATAGATGTTACATTTGCTGATTCTTCTATTATACCTTCCACTTTTATATCTTCACTTTAGTCTTCCATTATTAATCTCAGATGTGCATTGTTGCAGCATTTTATTTATTTATTGACAAAAAGCCCAGAGCATGCTCTGTGTGAAGCTGTCCTTTGCCATATAAATTGTGCTGATTGTCATTAAGCTTTGGGTGCCATTAATACGCTGTTTTATCACTTATAAAGTCCTTCATAATGTAGTTCCTGGCTGTCTGAAGGATTGCTTCTTTTCCATTACAGACAGTCCTTGTTTAGTGACTGCTTCATTTAGCAACCGTTTGCAGCTACAGTAGCGATGAAAAAGAAACTTTGTGACCAATCTTTGCATTTATAATCTTTGCTAAATTGCAAAATGAAGGAAGGCTGAAATAAGATTGTAAGGACAATCACATTTAGTGACACTTTTGCTTAACAACCAAGTTTTTGATCCCAGTTGTGGCTGTAAATGAGGACTACCTGTATTTCTGCCTATCATCTGTGAACCAACTGGGAAGGAGAAGGTTACTCTATCTCTTGGGTCCCAAGAAATGTATTTCCACTATTTCAACATCTGCCTTTGGAACTGCGTCCCTGCTAGAGGTTCGGCCCACTCCAACCTTGCAATCCTTTAGAAGACAATCTTTAAAGGCCTGTTATTGTTTTTCCCTAAAGCTCATTGTTAGTGTGTTCATTTGGTTTGCAGTGTTTATTTGGGGTATGGTACATCGTTCCTCCTTTTTAGTTCCATTTTTAAGTTTATTGGCTTTGTTTTTTAAGTACTGTATTTTTTAATCATGCACCAACTGGAATCTCTGTTGAATTGTGGATCTTTATGACTCTGAATTATAAACCATATAAATTATCAAATATAATGTTGATATAAAAATTATGTATGCTGGCTGTGGATATGAGATTGATACTAGGTTGAATTCCCTCCTTCCAGAATATAATAACAGAGCAAAACCATTCTAACTAATATGAGCTTCGTTAGACCTTCATTCTAACTAATATGAATCAGGTCCAATGAAGATGATTGTGTACCTCAAAGGAATGATTCTATTTTCCGAACAGTGATATTGTTATAAGCTTTAACATCTATTGTGCACAAGAAGCAAGAGCCTATATGTTATTGTCTAATAAACGATTTATGGCAAATTAGGATATGCTTCAGATTTAAGAGAGGCATGAGAAAGTGCAACAGGAAGTGAAAAATCATTGCTAGCTCTACAGGGATTAGGAATAAAGAGATATATACACCCAACTGAGATCCTGTTTTTTAAATGAAAAAAGAGCATGGAAGCTGTGAAAAGGCACAATGGCATTCCCCATTAGACAAATTATTTATCAATAGTTGAATAGAACACCCACACAAGATAACAATCATAAAGGGTATATTGAGCTAGAGATGAAGCTGACTAGTGAGAGACTAGTGCTTCAAGCAAATATGAATCTGCAAGCATAAAACTTAAACCTGGAGAAGACCTGCAACTCAAATATCCATTTGTGATCCTCTTAGAGGAGTTTTCTGGATAAGGATAGAAAATATGGCATGACTCTGGTGAGTCATGCTCTTTCTGTGAGATCTTAGGAGAATTGCTTTTACCACCACGGTCCTAAATTCAGACTCTGGAAAAAGAACAAAGCTATAAGAGGGCATCTGCTTCCAAGTTAAGTGTCACAGAGCAGAACAGAGCCAGATTGCTAAGAAGTATGCTTTGTGAGTATTAATCTATTCAGAATTTGTTATTTTAAGTAGACTGTTAGTTGCAAGTAGCCCAGCAACCATAATTCAACCTAAATACCATTAATTGTGCTTGAGTAGAGAGCAGGAACCTCTGAAACAGAAGCCTTTGTTTGAGCTCAAACACTAAGACATCGTGACATTGCGACACATCACATGACGTTGCAAGTTTGACACCCCCTGATTTAGACTGTTGTCTTCCTTGAAACCAACCTTAGCCAAACTCTTAATCTATGAACTTTGACTATTCTGAACTTTTTTGCAGAGATTGGAACTCTGAATTGGATTTATACTACATGCAGGACCTCTGATTCACCATCCCATATTTGCCACTATTAAAAATCTTCGCATAGCAATATTTTTCAGTTTGTAAAGCCTATCTTAGCAACTTTTCAGATCACAAAATGCTTTCAAAGGCTACTCAATAATTGTAGTACAGTATTGGCCTTTTTCATATCTTTACATAAAGGACTTGAAGGTCTGGTTGGTATTCATAGCAGGCCTTACAAGCTGGCCCATGACCCTTCCACCTTTTAACAAGCATATTCTCATAATTGTTCTTCTCAGTTTACTCTTAGCATTAGCTGTATATAGTCTGTGAAGAATGTGTAAAGAATCTGTGGTAGATCCCAAATATTGCTTGCCTTGCATCTTCCTGACTTTTCTGTCCAAAAAGCTAGTTAGTGGCTCTGAGAGGATATCTGGAGAGTTGCTATACACACACACACATACACAGCCCAACTCACACGGTTGCTGTTGTGGGGAAAATAGGAGACAGGAGTATTAGATAGTTTTACTGTAATTTTGGGATAATAATAAAAATGACTTGATAGCTGGATAAAACGCCAAATCTAGTCTACAAATTCTAGCTTATTGTGTAACCAATAATAATGTATGTAGACAAATTAATTCCTTCACATCTCCAAAATCTAAATAATAATTAGAAACCAATGCATGGCCCATTTCAGTAACATAGACCTGTCCACATTGCATACCACTCGTTCCTGGGTAAAAAAAGAGGTTGAATTTTCTAGAAGGCTGCTACTCACTTCCCCTCTCTCAATTAAAATACTCAAATTGCATTTTCTCAGCTGCTGCAAAGTTATTTTTAAACTCCATGACAACATAAATCATCAAGCCTACTCTAGGTAACTTGAGAGCAGCTAAAGCTATTCTGCACCTCTCCCACCAGCCTAGGAATTCCCAAACTTTATAAAATAAGATAATGAAAGAAAAGCTCAGATACTGCAATTTGTCCTAAAGATTCCTTTAGCAGAAGTAGAAAGAGTGGAAATGACTAAATGGCTTTTTATTAGCTCCTGGAAATAGTTGCCATAGACAACAACTGGCCTGCAGTGGGGCCCAATAAAAAAAAGAAATATGGGGGGGAGGAATGTCAATCCTCATTTAGGTCCAAACTTTGAAGAGCCAAATGCTAGGTTCATATATTTCACTAAGTCTAGTTTGCTTAACCATTATATGATGAATAAATCATAACTGACTTGGTTAAAACCACACACTATGTCATAAGCCACATTTACAAACCTCAGTGTTTGAGTTCCCATATTGAGCTAACTCAAAACCAAACAGTACATATGATCACGGGACAATTTATGAACCCAAACAAATATTCAATGTTGTTGAATAGATAGATCCTCCCTCTTTTTCTTTTCTTCCTTGCTTCCTAAGTACAGATTGGTGGGAAAA